TCATTAGTATCTGAGAGAGAGCTGGAATTGTAGGTCACCTTGGAAGACGGAAAAAAAAAAAAGCTTAAAGACTTAGGACCCAGAAGAGCACCAGCATTTAAGGAAGTGGTCAAGATACGGGGACAGTAGAATCTTAAGAGGCCAAAGGTAGAGAGTTTGAAGGAGTGTCAGTGTCTATTGTTTAAAGATAAGACTTTAGATTGTCCTTTGGGTTTAGCAGTAAGGAGTTGAACTGGTAACCTTGGTGAGAGAAGTGTCAAGTGGAATGGTGGGGTATTATATAAACCTGATGGCAGTGAGTTGACAGTAAAAGTGGAAATAGCAAATGCTGAATACTCTTACAAGAAATCTGAAGAAAAATGTGAGGACAACTTGCGATGATAGTAAAGGGAGATTGTTTTTAAATTGAGAATAAACTCCTTTTAAAGGATATGAATGCACTGCCAGTAGGAGCATTAAAGGAAAATGTTAATCCCAATTAGAGAGTTGAGGGGAGGTGTGGTTCCCGGAAGAGTTCTGTGCACACTGGACTTCAGATGACGTGTGGGGTGGATTTCTGTGAGATGCTGTCAGGAGAGGTTGTGGTGAAGCGAGGACGTGTATTACAGGTGAAGGAGACAAGGACGGCAAAGGGCTGAAGATGGAAGGAAGTTTATAGACACGTTCGGGGAGCCGCACAGGGTCCAATTTAACCACATCCTTGGGTTGTAAAGAAAGTGGTGAGAGAAAAATGGGAGTCAGGGTTGTACTGGAGGAACCGAACGCTGTGTTGTGGCCTTTGTTTCTGGGCCTTAAAGTGCTGGGAGCTGTTAATGCTTTCTGATACGGGTAGTTATACAGTCAGAGGGGGCTTCCCAGGTGGCGCTAGTGGTAAAGAACCTGCTTGGAGATATAGGAGACACAAGAGACGCAGGTTCGATGCTTGAGTTGGGAAGATCCCCTGGAGAAGGGAATGGCAGGCTACTCTGGGATTCCTGCCTGGAGAATCCCATGGACAGAGGAGCCTGACGGGCTACATACAATCCAAGGGGTCGTCAAGAGTCGGACATGACTGAGTGCAGGCAAACAAACATACAGTCAGAGGAGCTGTGCTTTGGAAAGAGTTCTGAAGCAGTGTGGAGGAAGGACTGGAGGAGAGGGAAGAACTCTTTTGTTCCGAGTATCCTCTGTCTAGGAAACACTGGCGCACAGGCAGTCCCATTGTGCTGATGTAGCGCTGATCCTCTTGGAGGGGGATGTTTTCCTCCTCGTGGAAACTCAGATAAAGCTTCGTAACACACCTTCTCTCAGTTAAAGAGGACGCAGGGCTTCTTTGCTCTTCATTCCTTTCACTGCATGGAATGAATTGTCCTTGTCCTCTCTCCGGACTCAACGGAAGAAGGAATTGTTTGCTTTGAATATAAATTCAGAGAAATGTGGTTGTGCGACTGTTTGAAGACCGTCTTCTAGTTTTCAGGTGAAATACTGTCTCACTAAAGAAGGTTAATTTTGCCAGCTGCCATAATATGCAGTAGTCAGCAAATGTTGAAAGTACTGCAGAATGATAAACAGGCAAGAATTCACACTAATGAAGTCAGTTCTGTTATCTAAGCATTTCCCTGGATTCTAGCCTGTATCTTAAATTTAAAAGCTACTTCTAGTTTAATATATTTATTAAAATATGAATGTTAAAGAGTTTGTTAGTTTTCAGTTATTGGCATGAAATAAACAGGTAATGGCCCTGTTACTTCTAAGTACAGAGGTATTGTATATTCTTAAGTTGTTAAGAATATACAATATCTGATTGTATGTTCTTAAGTATACAAAATTCTTATTGTATATTCTTAAGTAAGTTGGTTATATTCTTACCAAAGGGCTTCCTTGGAACTTAGTGGTAAAGAATCCACCTGCCAATGCAGGAGGTGCGGGTGCGATCCCTGGGTGAGGAAGATCTGGAGAAGGAAATGGCAACCCACTCCAGTATTCTTGTGTGGAAAATCCCATGGGAAGAGGAACCTGGAGGGCCACAGTCCATGGGTTTGCAAAGGGTCAGACATGACTTAGCGGCTAAATGACAACAGTTCTTACCAAGAGTAGATTAACAGCTTGAAATTACTATGAAGAATAAGGAAGTATATATTTAAATAAGTGAATAATATGGTTGCCAAACTAAGGTAAAGTGCAAGTGCATGGGAAAGCTACTTTTATCACACCATTGAGTGAAATTTACCAAGTTATCCTTTTACTAAAAATGGCCTGCCTTTCTGAGTACTTCACCGCAAAGTTGTTTCCACTAGTTTATTCCAACTTCATTCTCTTACGGTATAATTTGTAAGAGGGTTATACTCTTTCCTTCTGTCTTCCAATTTTGTTTACTCTTTCCTAATAATACTTACCCTGAGTGGGCTTTTTTTCTTGTTCCAGTTTAATTCTCCTAAGTTTTTTTTCACCCAAGCCTAATCTTTTGAAATTGGATACACTGTTTCAGATAGTCTAAAATAATAACTGATACAAAATGATTTGTTTTGACTTAGGACGGCAAAGGGCTGAAGATGGAAGGAAGTTTATAGACACGTTCGGGGAGCCGCACAGGGTCCAATTTAACCACATCCTTGGGTTGTAAAGAAAGTGGTGAGAGAAAAATGGGAGTCAGGGTTGTACTGGAGGAACCGAACGCTGTGTTGTGGCCTTTGTTTCTGGGCCTTAAAGTGCTGGGAGCTGTTAATGCTTTCTGATACGGGTAGTTATACAGTCAGAGGGGGCTTCCCAGGTGGCGCTAGTGGTAAAGAACCTGCTTGGAGATATAGGAGACACAAGAGACGCAGGTTCGATGCTTGAGTTGGGAAGATCCCCTGGAGAAGGGAATGGCAGGCTACTCTGGGATTCCTGCCTGGAGAATCCCATGGACAGAGGAGCCTGACGGGCTACATACAATCCAAGGGGTCGTCAAGAGTCGGACATGACTGAGTGCAGGCAAACAAACATACAGTCAGAGGAGCTGTGCTTTGGAAAGAGTTCTGAAGCAGTGTGGAGGAAGGACTGGAGGAGAGGGAAGAACTCTTTTGTTCCGAGTATCCTCTGTCTAGGAAACACTGGCGCACAGGCAGTCCCATTGTGCTGATGTAGCGCTGATCCTCTTGGAGGGGGATGTTTTCCTCCTCGTGGAAACTCAGATAAAGCTTCGTAACACACCTTCTCTCAGTTAAAGAGGACGCAGGGCTTCTTTGCTCTTCATTCCTTTCACTGCATGGAATGAATTGTCCTTGTCCTCTCTTCGGACTCAACGGAAGAAGGAATTGTTTGCTTTGAATATAAATTCAGAGAAATGTGGTTGTGCGACTGTTTGAAGACCATCTTCTAGTTTTCAGGTGAAATACTGTCTCACTAAAGAAGGTTAATTTTGCCAGCTGCCATAATATGCAGTAGTCAGCAAATGTTGAAAGTACTGCAGAATGATAAACAGGCAAGAATTCACACTAATGAAGTCAGTTCTGTTATCTAAGCATTTCCCTGGATTCTAGCCTGTATCTTAAATTTAAAAGCTACTTCTAGTTTAATATATTTATTAAAATATGAATGTTAAAGAGTTTGTTAGTTTTCAGTTATTGGCATGAAATAAACAGGTAATGGCCCTGTTACTTCTGAAGTACAGAGGTATTGTATATTCTTAAGTTGTTAAGAATATACAATATCTGATTGTATGTTCTTAAGTATACAAAATTCTTATTGTATATTCTTAAGTAAGTTGGTTATATTCTTACCAAAGGGCTTCCTTGGAACTTAGTGGTAAAGAATCCACCTGCCAATGCAGGAGGTGCGGGTGCGATCCCTGGGTGAGGAAGATCTGGAGAAGGAAATGGCAACCCACTCCAGTATTCTTGTGTGGAAAATCCCATGGGAAGAGGAACCTGGAGGGCCACAGTCCATGGGTTTGCAAAGGGTCAGACATGACTTAGCGGCTAAATGACAACAGTTCTTACCAAGAGTAGATTAACAGCTTGAAATTACTATGAAGAATAAAGAAGTATATATTTAAATAAGTGAATAATATGGTTGCCAAACTAAGGTAAAGTGCAAGTGCATGGGAAAGCTACTTTTATCACACCATTGAGTGAAATTTACCAAGTTACCCTTTTACTAAAAATGGCCTGCCTTTCTGAGTACTTCACCGCAAAGTTGTTTCCACTAGTTTATTCCAACTTCATTCTCTTACGGTATAATTTGTAAGAGGGTTATACTCTTTCCTTCTGTCGTCCAATTTTGTTTACTCTTTCCTAATAATACTTACCCTGAGTGGGCTTTTTTTCTTGTTCCAGTTTAATTCTCCTAAGTTTTTTTTCACCCAAGCCTAATCTTTTGAAATTGGATACACTGTTTCAGATAGTCTAAAATAATAACTGATACAAAATGATTTGTTTTGACTCCAGTACATTAAGCCAGTACTTTGCCGTTTGATTTTCCTTCCTAAAAAGACTTTGCTTATGTTAATATGATTATATTTCTTAGTACAGTTTTGTAATTGGAGTAGTTAATTTCTCCCAATAGGTTGTAAGAAAATAATCTTGGATTTAAAATGTTTGGTCAAGGATTCCTGGAGGATGAGCCTCCTCTTGACTGATAGTAGTCGACTGTAAGATAATGGCTTCCAGGTTGTTCCTTTGCCCAGAAGCATTAGTACCACCTGGTAATTAGTCAGAAGTGCATATTACAGCCCTGCCAGAGACCTACTGAATAAAAAGCTGGATATGAGACCCAGCCACCTTTTAACAAGTCCTTCCAGTGATTCTGATGCATGGTGAAGTTTTAGAATCCTTACTGTAGGATTATAATAAAAGAGACTTCTTTCTTGATTTTTAGTGAACTGTTGAGAGAGTAATTGACTTAGAATCCTTTTTGCTTGATTGGCAGAGAAAATAAATGCTTGCTGTATTTTTAGGTGCAAATTTTGTACCCTAAGTCAAAGTAATGGATGAGTAATTAAAATAGCACATAGAAACTTTTATGTTTATATGTACTTTCAGGAAGCAAAACCTTCAACCGAGGACTTGGGGGATAAGAAGGAAGGAGAATATATTAAACTCAAAGTCATTGGACAGGTGAGTTTCATTATTTTTCTCCTTTGACTCTGGAATGTGTGAATGATTTCTGAAAACAGAAAAAATGATTCAACTAAGGCAAGATATTGAAAAGTGGAGTTTCATTTACTGTACGTGCATCTGTTAGAGGTAGGAGAGGGTGATACTGTATTTTTAAATTGCTCTACTAGGCAACTTATCACTTTAATTTCTTCTACTAGAACTTTTTCTTGTTTAGCATGCTTCGGTGGCAAACACAGTGACTACTATAGTGATAACGCTAGAGGCCTTACACAAAAGGGCCTCTCAGGCCTTTTCCTGACCCCTTTCTCTCTCTTGGCACCTTATTTCTCCAGACTCTGATCTTTACCTTATTGACCCTTTTTGAGATGCTAATAGATAATAAAGGTTAGCTGGAAATTAGTGGAGGAATGAAGCTTCATAGTTTTTTTAAGGTTTTTTTAAGGGACAGAAGAACTAGTGTACTCTCACCATGGAAGTGTGAGAGTACCATCTTCCCACATTCTCTGAAACATGGGATATTATTATATCAACCTTTCAGTTTTAGGCCAGTGTGATAATATTGCTTTGAATATTCATTATAATTTTTGTGTGGCTGTGTTTTCAATTCTCTATATATGTTGGAGTGGAATTGTTGGGTGTAATATAGTAGTAACTTTGTTTTAACTTTTTGAGGAGACTTCAAACAAAACTTTTAGCAGTGGTTGCACTATTTTATACATTATTCTTAACAACAATAAATGAAGATTTGTTATTTTACATTTTACCCAGTATTTGTTGTTCTTTTTTTTTTTTTTAAATATATATGGTCATCCTAGTGAGTGTGAAGTGGTATCTCATTGTGTTTTTGATTTGTCTTTTCCTGATGGTTAATAATGGATATCTTTTCCTGTTCTTATTGGCCATTTGCACATCTTTGGAGAAATGTGTCTATTCAGATCTTTTGTCCGTTTTTAGATTGGATTATTTGTCTTTATTTTTGAGTTCTAGTAACTTTTCACATGTATTTTGGATATTAGATCCTTATCAGTTAGGTGGTTTGCAGATGTTTTCTCCCATCTTTGGGTTGTCTTTTCACTTTCTGGGTTGTGTCCTTTGCACAAACAGTTTTTGATTTCAGTGAATTGAATTTATCTTTTTAAAAAGTTTTTGGCTGTGCTGGGTCTTTGTTGTTTTGCACAGGTTGTCTCTAGTTGCCGTGAGGGGGCTTCTTTGTGTGGTGCGTGGGCTTCTCATTGCAGTGGCTTCTCTTGTTGCGGAGCATGGGCTCTGGGCACTCAGGCTCCGTGGTTCCCGGGCTCTAGAGCATAGGCTCAATAGTTGCGGCACACAGGCTTGGTTGCTCCTTGGCATGTGGAATCTCCCCAGACCAGAGATTGAACCCATGTCTCCTGCAATGGCAGGCAGATTGTTAACCACTGGATCACCAAGGAAATCCCTATTTTTTTCTTTTTTTGCTGTGATTTTAGTGTCATGTATAAGAAACTATTACCTAAGTCAGGGTCACAAAAATTTACACCTATAGAGTCTTTTAAAGTTTTTATGGTTTTAGCTCTTACATTAAGTTTTTGATCATTTTGAGTACTTTTTGCGTGCTTTTAGTATGGATTTGAAGGAGAGTCTAACTTCTTTTGAATATGGCTATCTGTTTTTCCCAGAACCCTGGTTGAAAGTTCTGTTCTTTTCCCATTGAATTTGCTTGGCATCTTTGTCAAAATCAGTTGACTGTAGATATATATGGATTTATTTCTGGACTCTCAATTTTATTCTGTTTATTTATAGGCATACTTCAGAAATATTGAGGATTTGGTTCCAGACCACTGCAATAAAGTGAATCACATGGATCTTTTGTTTCCCAGTGCATATGAAAGTTATGTTTACACTATAGTTTAAGTGTATAATAGCGTTAAAATGTACACACCTTAATTAAAAAGTACTTTATTGCTGAAAAGTACTAACCATCATCTGAGCCTCCAGTGAGCTTTTTTTGCTGGGGTAGGACTTGAATTCTGAGAGAATTACCAAATTACCAATTACCAAAATGTGACACAGAGACCTGAAATGAGCAGACACCATTGGAAAAATGGTGCGGGCAGACTTGCTGATTGCAAGCTTGTTACAGACTTTCAATTTGTACAGAACGCAGCACCTGCAAAATTCAATGAAGAAAGCACATGGACTTGCGTGGTGGTCCAGTGGCTAAGACTCTGCTCCCAGTGCAGGGGCACAGCTTCGTTTCTGGCCAGGGAACTGGGGATCCCGTATGCCGCAACTGAAGATCCTGTGCACCACAGCAGACCTGGCATAGCCAAATTAAAAAAAAAAAAAAATAGAGTGTAGTAAAGTAGGTATGCTTGTGTATGTCTCTCCTATGCCATGGATTACCTTTTTAACAATTACTGATTTGTAGGAGTTCTTTATATTTACTTAATTTTTCTTGTCTGCTATATATGTTGTGAATATTTTCTTCAGAGTCTCTTAACTTACTTATAGGTGATTTATGTTTTTATTAAGTTGGATTTAACAGTCTCCTTTTTTTTTTTAAAATGGTTTCTGGGTTAAAATTTTGCTTTAAAGTAAGGATTTACTAATGTCAAGATTAGGAGAAAAGTCTTTCCCAAAGAAGAGAGCATACTAAAAAAATTTTTTAATGTTAGCTCTTTATTTCATCTGGAAATGATTTTAGCTGATGGAGTGAGGTATTGCTCTAGAAATTTTGTCTGTTCCTGAAATTATCCACACGATGAGAATTTATTTTTATTTATTATTATTTTTTAAGAAAATTTGGCTATACCACATGTTATGCCCGATGTCCGAATCCCCGAGCGGGAAGAGAGAAGTCCCAGGAGACAATGCAAAACGCAAGAAGGAAGTTTATTGCTAGCTCGAGCTAGGGCCCCCGCTGTGTCCAACGCAGTGGCGCACAGGCTGAGAGCCCCGAGCCCGGGTTTCTACCCATATTTATAGGACATCCAGTTTCAAACATAAGCAGGGGTCAATTAGCGAAGCGGATTGGTTACATGTTCGCGCGCGCGGGACTTTTCCGAAAACAAGTTCTGATTGGCTGTATCTGGGTGGCCTGATAATCGTCCTAGTTGCCAGAGGAGGGTCTTTCCCTTCCCGCCTCTGCCTCCTATCATGGCGTTATGTTTGCTCTTTCTACATTCCGTTTGTTCTTCCTACACCACACAGCATGCAGGATCTTAGTTCCCCAACCAGGGATCAGACCCAGTTCTGGCAGTGAAAGCACCAAGTCCTAACCGTTGGAGTGACTGCCAGGGAATTGCTTTTTGTTTTTTTAAAATTATAAACAAAACATGCAACTTCTGCTAATATGTATCTGAATGTGTTATGTAATCATTAAAGTTGACTTTGAAGTTTTTACAGTGTGTAAGTACCAATATTTTTTTCTGATGGTTGCCTGATAATTTACCTGACAGTCTCGGTAGAAGAAAATGATCTGTGGTCCCATATTTCAATTTGAGTGACTCAGGTTATTTATTTTACCCATCAAGAGAAACCAGACTCTGTATGGTGACTTTTTATGGCAGAAGAATTGTCTCAGTCTGCTGTTTTACGGTATACGTCGCTCTTATAACTTTGACCATCTTTAATGACACTTCGGTTATAGGGGGTACTATTTATTCTGAGTTGCCTTTGGGAGTTTGTGATAGTTTAGATTTTTATTTTGAAAATAGAATAGGTATGCAATTCTGAAGGAATGCATTTTTTACATACATACTTATACTGCTAATTTTAATATCTAAAATAGATTATGTTTTGACGCTTACTCTTTGGAAGGAAAGTTATGACCAACCTAGACTGCATATTAAAAAGCAGAGACATTACTTTGTCAACAAAGGTCCGTATGCTTTCATCATCAAAATTTATGATCTTGGTCTTTCCTTCTTGCCTTTGTATAAAGCCAAAAGAGAGACATTGGCTACTTTGACAACCTTAAAGCGGACTCCAGGAATGTCACCAACAGCATGACCTTTGCGACCAAATCCAGCAACCAGAACTTCATCATTTTCCTCAATAAAATTCAAGCAACCATCATTGGGTACAAAAGCAGTGCTTTTTTTTTGCCATTCTTGATTAGCTGAACCCTGACACACTTCCTGATGGCAGAATTTGGCTGTTTGGCTTCAGCTCCTACTTTTTCCAGCACAATTTCCTTGGCGTGAGAGGCGCCGCCAAAAGGGTTGGCCTTTGGGGCTGTGCCCAAAGGGGCTTTCTTGCACTGTTTATCATGCCACTTCTGGTCTCGTCAGTGGCTACGGAGCTTCCTGGCAGTACGAAGACCGCGACACATGCCCATCCTGCCGGCACCACTGGCCTGAGCAACAGAGAGCGAGGATGATTATTTTAAAAAACCTGTTAGGAATGCTAAAAAGAATATTTTGGAGGGAAAATATAAGTGAAAAGTTGTATGTTTTTGTGTGTAGCATATGTGTAATTAAATAATTTGTTTCAGGCAAAGCAAGTAACTTACTCAAAGAGTGATAATTCTTTTCCTCTTATCTCCTTAGGATAGCAGTGAGATTCACTTCAAAGTGAAAATGACGACACATCTCAAGAAACTCAAAGAATCATACTGTCAAAGACAGGTCTGTATGTTGTGTTAAATTGAGTGCTTTATATATCATTAATTTTTCTTTTAAGAAAGCTTGTCAAAAGTAATCTTTTGGGAATTCTCTGGTGGTCTAGTATTTAGGACTTTGCAAGAAGAAAAAGAGATCATTTAGGTGTTGGGATAAGGAAAACAGGGGCCTCCCCTGGTGGCTCAGACAGTAGAGAATCTGCCTGCAAGGCAGGACACCTAGATTCTATCCCTGCAGGGTCAGGAAAATCCCCTGGAGAAGGGACTGGCTACCCACTCCAGTGTTAGGATAAGTGAGCCGATAAACATTTGTTTTTTTGTTTTTTGCTGTGCTGCGTGGCCTGTGGGATCCTAATTCCTGGACCAAGGATTGAACCTATGCCCTTGGCAGTAAAAGTTCAGTGCTCACCACTGGACTGCCAGGGAATTCCCTGTTTATGTTTTTGATGTTAGTTGTTAAGCTCAGTAATGTCTTATTAATTGAGGCTCAACTAGCTCACATTTGTAATAATATTGATGGGAACTAAAACTGGAAATGAGCATGTATTAACTGCACTGTGCTAATAGGTACTTAGATACATTGTCGTTTATTCTTGACAATAACTCCAAAGAAAATATGCAGTCTTTTACCTCATCTGTAGACGATGGTGTTGATTATTGAGGAGGAACAGTGCAGAAGTGAAAACTAAACTGATTCAGGATTGAAGTTATTGTGCTGCGCTTGGTCACTCAGTCGTGTCTGACATGTGCGACCCCAGGGACGTTAGCCCACCAGCCGCCTCTGTCCACAGAATTCTCCAGGCAAGAATACTGGAGTGGGTTGTCATGCCTTCCTCCAGGGGATCTTCCCAACCCAGGGATCAAACCCAGGTTTCCTGCATTGCAGGTGGATTCTTTACCAACTGAGCTACCAGGGAAGCCCTAACGTGCTAGGGGAGATAATACAACATCAAGTTGGAATAATTTTTAACCTTCTTTTTTATGCTTTGGAGTTTACAGTCTTTAGAAAAAGTTTTTATGCTCAGTTCACAACAGCTTGATAAATTTTTTTCTTATATTTGCTGATTTACACGCAGTGGGACTCTTAATTTTTTCTTAAAGTATGGAATTCTTACCCAACAAGAGAGATTGAGTCATTTTTCCATTTTGATGTTATAGACTTGCTTCTGTAGAAACTTTTTTGACTCCAATATAAGATACTTACTTTTTGAAAGATCCTGTATTTAAAATCAAAGAATATTTTGTCCTTGTCAGTTATGTTTATTAGTTAATATAACCCTGGAAATAGTTTAAAAGTAGAGAATTTCCTGGTGGTTCAGTGCTTAGGACTTAGTTTGACTGCTGGGGCCCAGCTTCAACCCCTGGTCAGGGAACGAAGAAAAAGTTTAAAGCCACCTACAGGGTAAGCTTGCACGGTCTTGTATATGTAAGTGTAGTACATATTGGGAAGATAGTTTGAGTTTTTTATGATGTTTTTGGGGTAGTATTTAAACATGGCAGAAATCTTAACACATTAGTTATTGAGCAGAACTTTCTGATACTTGTGGACTAAATAAATGATTCTTGATTTATACTTGTTAGTGAAGTTATGTCTCTTTAAATGAGCCATCTATTCTCTTAGCTATTTTTGTGGAATAAGTGATTAGAAAAATATATTTTAACACCTTTTGTGACACTTACAGAGCTATAACTGCCATCACCGGTTTACTGTGGTTTATCTGGCTTGCTGCTGGGCTTTACTAAATTTCTATGATTTAGTCTGTTTAAAACTAATTTTGCTTGTACAGTTGGTAGCTGGTACTCATCCAGTATCTGATTTTATTTTTATGTTAGCTTGTAGGTTTGAGAGGAAACTATATAGAATAGTGGTTAAGAATGCACAGGGTTAGGATTTGGCCTTTAATTCTTGACTAGCTTGTGGATCCTGTCTATACCTTAGATTCTCTAGCTGTAAATGAAGATTAGGTGATAATACTTACCTTTTAGGCCTGTTGTGATGAAAAATTCATGATTATGTATATAAAATATTTGGTATCAGGAGTACCTGGCAAATAGTTTTTACTCAGTTAATGATAATGGTGATAGAATTAGCTGTCTAGTTTTATGTTCTACACATTGTGTTGAAGCTTTCATATTTGCTTTTTGTGCATCAAAGTTTCTGTTATCTCTTCTAAGGTTTGTATTTGTACATTTTCTGTCTTTTTAGGGAGTTCCCATGAATTCACTCAGGTTTCTCTTTGAAGGTCAGAGAATTGCTGATAATCACACTCCAAAAGAAGTGAGTATAATTTCTTCTCTGAATTCAAGACATATTTTGAATTTTGCATTGAATGATGTGGTTCGCTGGTACCATTAAACTGCCCTTTTCTTGAATATTCCCTGAGTTAAGTGATATATTATTTTTCAGAGAGAAAAACAATCTTTTGGGTTGAATTTCCCTTTTAGTGCCTCCAAACATGCCAGTAAAGAGTTGAAAAGTAGGGATTGAGTATTTAAGTTGTTATAAGGCACACACTATGCATTTTTAAGGATGGACAGATGGTTCTCAGATTTGGCAGATTTCGGGTACATTTTCATGGTGACAGTGACCTCCAGAGTTCGGTTTTGCCTCTTGGCCCATTTTGAGCACTTAATAGAGAAGCTTAGTGTATATTTTTGGCTCTGTCGTTCTGGGTTATGATTTTTAATGCTCTGTGACTTCGTTTGTTTTATTGAATATATTGTTTTATTTCTCTGTTTATATATTCCACCCTCTACCCTCATTCTCACTCCTACCCCCAGATATCTGAAAGTAATAAAATGTGAGAAAAAGAGCGTGTGTGTATTTACATTTTTGCAGATTCCCCTCCTCCAAATAAAAAATAACATTTCTTATATTTCTGATAGTGGGAATGATATATGGTTATTATTAACTTTTTTATTTGGAAACATTTCAAACTTACTGAATGATGAGACTAGTATAATCTCCTGTATAACCTTTTTCATAGATTATTCATTTATTAACATTGTGCTGTGTTTGATATATCATTCTCTCTGTATGTACAGATTATCACTACTGGTGGACCATTTGATATTAATTTGCAGATTACATGGCTCTTTACCCCTCAGTATTTCAGTGTTACTGTTCTCCTAAGAGTCACAGTTAAATTATCTAATTTAGGTGATTTAACCTTGATACAATACTGTAATTGAATATACAATCAAAGTAATCTGATTTTGCAATTTGTCTCAGAAAGGTCCTTTATAGCTCACCTGCCTTTTTTTAACTTAACCTGGGATCTCATCCAGGATATGCATTCTAACTGGTTGCCATGCCTCTTAGCTTCCTTTTCCTATGAAACAGTCTTCGTTTTTCATTACACTGTTGGCGTTCAGTTGCTAAGTTGTGTCCAACTCTGTGGCCCCTGCACACAACAGTCTTGCAGCACACCAGTCTTCCCCGTCTTTCACCATCTCCTGGAGTTTGCTCAAACTCATGTCTATTGGGTTGATGATGCCATCCAACTATCTTGTCCTCTGAGGTCCCCTTTTCCTCCTGCCTTCAGTCTTTCCTGGAATCAGGGTCTTTTCCAGTGAACAGCTCTTCGCATCAGGTGGCCAAAGTGTCGGAGCTTCAGCTTCAACATCAGTCCTTCCAGTGAATATTCAGGGTTGATTTCTTTAGGACTGACTGATTCATTACACTGACATTTTTAAAAAGAATTCAGGCCAACTGTATTTTAGATTGTCCTTCATGTAAAGTAATTAGCCTCCAATTAAAATAAATTAATTAAAGAAAAAGAATGTCCTTCAGTTGGGGTTTATCTGTTGTTTCCTCATGATTAGATTCAGGTTTGAACATTTGGTAGGAGCAACACTTGAGTGAAGCTGTGAAATTCCAAGTGTATCATGTCAGGAATTAGATGATGTCCATGTCTTACTATGGGTAATACTAGTTTTGGTCACTTAGTTAAGATGGTAACTGCCAGATATTTTATCCATTGTATCATTTTATCCGCTGTATCATTGTATCAATTTATCCAAGTTATTTTGTAATTAATAAGTAATTTGTGGGGAGATACTTTGTATGAGTGATGTTCTTTAGATATTAGCCGGTGGGAACCCCTTCAAGTTGACATTTGTTCTGACATCCCTCCATCTTTTTAAAAAGTTTTTATTTTATGATGATTTTCAAATTACAGAAAAGTTGCAAGAATAGTGCAAAAAATTGTACTCTCTTCTACCTAGATTTATCAGTTTTTAACATTTTGCTACCTGTACTTTATTATTCGCCTCCCCCCATATGTGTGTGTGTACATATCATCTGAACCACTTGGGAGTGGGTTGCATACACCATGGCCATTTGCTAAATATTTTAGTGTGTATTTCTTAAGAACAAGTATTTTCTTTTACATAACCAAAGTACTGTTATTAAAATTCAGTACACTTAATGCTGTTAGAATACTATTTTGTCATTTGTCCCAATTTTCCCTTATTATAATAAGTTTTCTCCCTCATCACAGGATCCATTTCAGTATGAACACATGGTGACTCAGCTGGTAAAGAATCCGCCTGCAATGTGGGAGACCTGGGTTCGATCTCTGGGTTGGGAAGATCCTCTGGAGAAGGGAACGGCTAACCCACTCCAGTATTCTTGCCTGGAGAATCCCACGGACAGGAAGGAGCCTGGTGGGCTATCGTCCATGGGGTCGCAAGAGTCGGACATGACTGGGCGACTTTCATTTTCACTTTAATTATCTTTAACTTGGAACAGTTCTTCAGCCTGTCTTTGTCTTCATGACATTTACATTTTTGAAGAATACAAACCAGTTATTTTCCGGAAGGTCTCTCAATTTGGGCTCTTCTGTTAACTCATGACTAGATTTGGATCATGTGTGTTTGGCTGTATTACTATGTAAATGGTGATGTGTCTTTCGCAGGCTGTAATATCTGGAGTATCTGAAGTCCTTTATCACTGGGTTTAACAGTTACCATTTTTTTTTTCCTGTGTAGTTAACTATTTTTCCTGTTGTAATTGAGTAATATGTGGGCACATACTTTGAAACTATGTGACTATCCTTTTGCTCATCAAACTTTCCCCTGTAGGTTTAGTATCCACCTACCTTCTTGAGTACTTCCTTACTGTCTGGCACAAGATATTCCAAACTTATTTCATGTTTTCCCTGTCTTAACTGGGCTAAGGCACAGGGATAGGGAGGCCTGGCATGTTGCAGTCCACAGGGTTGCAGACTCAGACTCAGTGACTAAACAGCAAAAGCTTGGCATAATCTCAGCAACACAGAAGGTTATTTAATACATCTTAGTGACACTTCCCTTACTGTCATTAAGAGATTTATCTTTTTAGAAGAATAATGGGGCAGTGGGAGAGAGTGGTATTTAGGGAGTGACCTCTTTGTACTGTTGTTTTTTTACTGTTATCTGCTAATGTACTTCTTAAAGCTGATAGCTTCATATTCACCATAGTTTAAGGACATAGGCTGCCTTCCCAATTCCAAAGGTTCCTTGTAATGTTTGGAATTCTAGTCCTTGCAGTGTTTACCAGGCTATGTGTGCAATTAAATTTTAATAGCATCTTTAATTAATAATTTTAACGTTCATATGTTTTATCACAGTCAAGATATCCATGACACCAGAACCAATTAATCACTTAAAAAAATTCTAAATCCACTTATTTTTTAGATTTCTTAGCATATTTTAATTTTCACATTTTGTAATTCTGCACAGAATTGTTCTGTATAAAATATAGAACTTGTCTCATTAGAGATTACTTGAACTTTCCTTTGAACTGATATTTTTCATTTGCTTTTGTGATTCACTGTAGTTCATTGGAAACAGTGCTGATTTTTGTTTTCAGTCTGCCTGTTTCAGTGTTCTTTAACCCTGGCTGCACACCAGAATCAACAGATTTGCAGTTCTTTACAAGCCTCATTGAGGCTTCTGTGGGTTTCTATGCAGCACCAGCCCCCTTCTGTACACTTTTATTTTTTAAATGAAGAATACTTGTAGTTAAAAATAAAAGTATTAAAAAACCAAACTACCAAAATATATAAAATGGAAAATACACTCTGGATATCTCTGCATTCCCATTTCTCAGAAGCAACCATTATTAATAATGTCTTTAAGAAAAACATTCCAGAATACTTCATGCATATGAAAAAAAAAATTACATATATTTTGCTTAATGTTCTGTAAAAGGCATTTTAAAGGGTCTCTCTTTTTTTTCTTTTCTGTAAGAATTGAGAATTGGCCTGAAAAATCAAGCCTATAGAATTGGAAGTGTCAAAAGTAGATGTATAATAACTCTTCATTGAGAGTGGTCACTATCAAAGAAAATAATAGTTAAATTCTAGAAGGGATTGTAGATAACAAAGCAAACTACTTAGAAATGAACCCTTAGACAGTATTTTTCTAGCCAAAACCCACATGTATTTCAAGTGAAGTCAGGTTTTTTGAAAGAGAAGAAAGAGATTAATTACACGTGGAAGTAAAATGATTTTTAGAAAATATGGCATCAAACTATTACTTAAACTATTCTATACATGTTTCATTAGATTTAAAATTCCTTTAAGGTACTTTTCAGAAACACTTAAATTTTATCTGGTGAATAAACTGGGAAGTGAAGTTGGCTCAGCAAAGAAACATGAATGGTTTCATATTGACATAGTATCAGAAGAAAATAATATACCTCTCTGTTCTTTGGATTAAAGGAAACAGGATTGTTAGTTTCATAACAGGATAACTATGGATTATTTTTGTATCTTTTTTGCACAGTTGCCACATAATTGCAGCCAGTTAAAAAAAACAGTACTTTTATATTCTACTACTAACACTTTTCTTTCCTCTTACAGCTGGGAATGGAGGAAGAAGATGTGATTGAAGTTTATCAGGAACAAACAGGGGGTCATTCAACGGTTTAGATATTCTTTTTATTTTTTTTTCTTTCCCCTTAATCCTTTTTTATTTTTAAAAATAGTTCTTTTGTAATGTGGTGTTCAAAACAGAATTGAAAACTGGCACCCCATCTCTTTAAAACATCTGGTAATTTGAATTCTAGTGCCAGCAGTTAAAGTTATTCATGCAGAAGTGTATACAACAGAACACTGCTCTTTTTGACTTTATTTGTACTTTTTGGCCTGGGATATGGGTTTTAAATGGACAGTGTCTGTACCAGCTTCATTAAAATAAACAAAATATTTGTAAAAACTGTACCCATGTTTATTTTATTTTTAATTGTACAGAAAGAAAAAAGACAATGCTTAAAACATAAGGTTTTTTTGCATCATACTGGAAATTATTGTTCATACATGGTACAGATTCTTTTTCTGGATTGTGCAGTGATGATCATGACTTTGAAGCACTGAAAGTTACTGAAGTGCCTTCAGAATTAAGGATTTAATTAAGGTCACAATACCTTCTTAAATACTCATTGTTGTTTTTTTAAAAAACTTGATATTCCTATATGGTGCATTTATATGATATGGTTACCCAATATGTTGAATAAATGGGCACACCAAAAATTCTTAATTGATATTGATAATTTCAGTTTTGCCCTTAACAATTTTCAAAATGTTCTCTGTAGTTAAGGTGGTTTATATTTTATTTCTTTATATCCTCTTTTCAACTGTAAAATTAAAATACTAAATTAGTTCCTTAATAGAGGGCTTAACTTTTTCTTTTAACTCCTTAATGAGTCACAGAATTCAGAATATATATGCACATATGTAATCCAATTTGGTATTATTCCAAATAGAATGTCATCTAGCTACTTTAGAAGAGCAAATAAAACCTATCTCTAATGCAAACTGTTATAGTTTGAATACCTTCTCAAATTTCCTGTTGAAAAGTAATTGGCTTGTCTTATAAATTCTTATTTTGACCCTACCTGAAAAATTATTTGTATTGTATATGTATAGTCTAGGTAAATGAGAACTTTTAGATGATTGTTTTAAATAGTAAATAGAAATAAGGCCCATTTCCAGAAAGTCCTCATTGAGTTGCATATTTCTGTCAGGCCTGAGAAACCTGAAAGGCTATTTGAGCTATCCAGAATGCGTGAAAGCGCGTATGTGTAGTTTGGTATCTTAGGTTTGTTTGCATCTCTGAAACTTGGCATTTAGGTGGTGGAGCTTAGCTATGGGGGATACTTGATTTTAGTTTATTGGATTCTCCTAAATGCTGTGCATTCTGCTATGGTTAACTGAAAAATGTGCTTATCTGGTTAGTGTTGATAAACTAGGCCTTGAACAGCAACAGTTTAATAGAATATTAGATTTGGAAGGCACCTAGAATAACATTTTAGTGTAGCCGCTCTACCTGGTGCTTGACTGCAACTTCTGAAGTTTGTAAAAGGAGAGAAAATAAAATCAGGAGTGGTAATCTCCCCCGCAAGGATGTTCTTGACTATTCTTCCTTCTCTTGGTTGAATTATTTGAGATGCTCCTTTCTCATCTAAGTATCATTGAATCAACTGAATAATGAATGAATGTGCAAGTAGGGTCGACAAGTTTGAGAAAGACTGTGACATGTTCACTATGATAGCCAGTGTGTTGGCCATTTTATTTCTGTGTTACGCAAAGGAAGGAGTTGAAGCATCAAATTTAAGCGAATCCAGTAACACAGCAGTACAAACAGAGCTTGACTTCTGGTCTGTGGAACTGCAGTTCCTGTAGAAAGCAGCTTATGAGCATTAGTGTGAAATTTCCAGGGAATCGTCTGCAAGTATTCCATTTTTAAATGCAGACTGAAGTATAGAGTAGGGCCAAAGGAAATTTGTGGGAAAATTTTGCTTCAGATAACTGCTTGCTTTGACATCATTTTATGTATCTTACTTGCTAAAGGTTCTTCGTCCCCTTTAATGATCGTTCAGTAGTAGATACTTACTGTTATTAAAGAGATGTTAAAGATAAATTATCTAATCAGGACACTTTGCTAGAGCCAGTGTGATTTTTAAAATGGGGAAATGATGTGAGTGGCTGGTTTTTCAAGGCACAGTTAGGAGCAAAACCTCAAGGCTGGTTAATTTTCAGGGCTCAAGAATACAGTGTTGTCCAATATAACTTTTTGTGATGAAAATGTTCTGTATCTGCTGTTCAGTATTGTAGCCAGTAGCCACATTCAGTTATTGATCACTTGAAAGATGACTAGTGTGACTGGAGAACTGAATGTTTTATGTTAATATAGCTACATGTGGTTACTTGACAGTGGTGTGGATGGAGGTCCTAGAGTGAACTTAGCTGTACAGTGAGGTGAACCAGATAAAATGGAACTAATTGAGCTCAGTATGGAACTTCATTATAGAAGGAAGTTTCTCTTTTTCCATTACCATCTTCCAGCTCTTTAGTTTTCTTCTAGTCTTAAGGTCTTGGTATTTGTAGGAATTGAAAGTAAGAGTAGACCCATGGTCTGGAAATGTTGTGTGTCCACTGTAGGCCATTGGCTTCCTTATGGAGTTCTTGGTGGAAATGAAGATGTTTCTTCAAAGCATCTTTTTGCCTAAGAAACAATTCATATCCGTGATCACAACACTGATAAAACATCCTAGAATTTGTCTTTATAAGCTAGTTGAATAATTTTCACTAAGAATGTCAGTAATCATCATTACACTTGGGGCTACTGACTTGCATTTTAGTGGAAGGTCATGTTGTCTTCATTCGATAACTTTACATATAAGGTTTCAAGGATCATGATCCTACGAGAAATGTTAAAAGGAAGGGTGTAACAGTTCTTACATTTGTATTCATGAAGGGACTCTATTGTCTTAGGGATGAAGAAACAGGCCAGAAAAGTTAAAGTATGCCTGGGTCAGTGTCACACAAGCGAAGATGAAATCAAGCCAGCTGGCATTAAGTTCTAACATTTGCTGGAATGAGGCTCTTTCACACCCTTCACATACCCCTTTAATTACTTATTCTTGGTGGAGATGAAGATGTTTCTTCAAAGCAACTTGGATTAGTGTTGCACAAGAGCTCAATTTCCCCCTGTATTTCTGGCCAGGTTTCTTTGTGGAAAATTGCAACTCTAATAGCTTTGCTTTTGGTTTCAATACTTATGAACCCAGTCCTACTGTTGTAATATGTGGAATGCATAATTTTGAAGCTGAATCAAGACTTCCCTTAATCTATTTTGTAATTCCCATAACAGCTGAGGAACATCCAGGAGAACAACTCAAGGTAAGGTGGAAACCCCTGAAATAGAGTTATTCTGGCTTCCTTTTTTTTTTTTCCTTGTCCCCTGAAGAGTATTTATTAGCTTAGATGCAGCTTTAGTGGTAGAAGATAAATTTCAAGGGACTTGTTTACAGTTAAGATTGGAATCACATGGTTTTCTTTGCTGGACTTCTTTACCCTTCAGTTGTGATAGTTCTAAACGAGGATGACTTTGTTGCTTTCACTAAGGAGGGGAAATTTATGATAATAGCCACTATGGAGGACCTGGTTTTTAAGGAGTCAATAGAAAGCACATTACTAAAGAGATTCTATTGTCAGAAAGGTGTAATAATCATTATTGTAAGAGAATAAAGGGGGGAAATGCTGCTGCCCCCGATGGCTGATTCTGAGCTATTTATACTAAAAAGGCCTAACGCTCTGACCTCACCTACAAGTATTCCTTGTGCCTTGTTCATTTCAGCCATGCTAACTTTTTTTTAATTCTTTTGCCATGCTAGCTTCATTCTTTTCTTTGAACTTCTGTACTTGCTGTTTACCTCCTGGAATATTTTTCTTCCACATGTTTATGTGACTAACTCATTGTCATTCAGGTCTCACCCTTATATATCACCTCTGCTAAGGTTTTGCCCTGGCCAACCTGTCTAAACTAAACCTCCTGCAATCCTTTAAAAAATTTTTGAAAAACATTTATTGACAACTTAAAAAACCTTTGTTTAGAGTCTGTCTCCCCATCCCCCTCCCTAGAATGTAAATGCCGTGGGAGAAGAGACGTCTGTCTTTCTTAATCCTGAGTTCCCAGTGTCCAGAACAGTGTTTGGCATATAACAGGTACCCAGTAAATACATACTGAGAAAGGCAGTGGTTCAGAATCAGGGGTGGGGGTGGAGTCTTTGGTCTAGTCTTGGTACTGCTTTCTCATCTGTGAAGCAGAGGGCTGAGCTAGATGATCTCTAAACCCCGTCTAGCTTCAATGCCAGTTCTTTAAGCCATCAAAAAATTCTATCACCTTTTTAGCAGGAGAATCCCTATTTTTCAGTTTTTCCAAACCATGCTATGGGAAGTGGGAGAACTTCACGTGTCCAAAGGCAGCTCAAAGCTAGTACCAGAAGCGGGCAGCCAAACCCTTGAACAATCCCACTCTTGAAACTGTTGTCCAAATGTCAGCTACCTGGCTTGCTCCTGGGCTTGTTTCATGGCTTCCTCCTGAGCCAGCCTTGCCGCTTCCTCTTCCTTCTGCCGTCTGTCCTCGGCTTCCCGCCGAGTCTTCTCTTCTGCTTCCTGTTTCTGCCGCTGGTACTCCAGCCGTTCTTCAGCCATTTCCATCAGGCGCTTTTGCTCTTCTGCTAACTGCATTTCCAACTCCTTCAGCCTTTGCTTTTCTGCCTCTGCAGAACAGAAGAGCAGGTAGGCTTAGTAGGGGTCTCGTTATTTGAGAAAACAACTCTCTGATCTGACTGTCAAGTCTGATTCCCAGGGACTCCCAATGAGATGTTCTATGGCTTACCTGACAGCTGGTTGCCAGATCTTCTGTGGGTATTACCCTGAGTTCATTTACTAACTTGAGTCCTTTATCAAGTACCTACTGTGTGCAGTGCACTGTGCAGTTAACACAAGACTTTGGGGAAGAATCTTCCAGAACCTGGTATGCAGATGGGTTGGAGACAGGCGTCAGGGCAGGGTCTGGAGAACCTTGGTGCTTACTCAACTGGTCTGACCACTCTACAGGGGCATCATCTGCTGAAGCACTTTCCTATTCCTCAAATATGAGGCTACAGAAAATCCATACATCTCCTGAAAGGCTGCCCAGCAGTCATCCAGGTGTTTGTTTTCTGCTAGGGAAGGAGGCAAGGAGCAGAGCTGTGTCGCCAATTTAGGCAGCTTCTGAGCAATGCCGGAAGGGCAATGCGAGGGGCTGGGTCCCGCTCCAGGAGATCACTGATTGGGACCACAAGAGTCATTGCTACAACAAGTCTTTCTAATTTTGATCTTCTATCTCAGCTCACTGAGTCACACCTACTAATCACTTTGAAAAAAAAAATCAGCCTACCCATTTAGAGTGCTTCACACTGAGACCTAGGATAGGAATAACTCTGGGGAGAATCAAATGGACACCCACAGGGGGATAAAAATATTTCTGTCCCAGATACAGGGAGTTGCAGAGAGCGGAGCGCCTCTCACCAGCCCTCTCAGCTTCCTCCTGCTGCTTCTTCCTCTGCAGCTCCTGCCGTTTCCTCCGGAACTCCTCCTGCTGCTGCCGAGCTCGCTCCTGGGCCATTTGCAACTGGAGCCACTGCCTTCTCTCCTCCTCCTCCCGCCGCTGTCGTTCTTCCTCAAGTCTCTGTTTCCTGAGGCTGAGAAGACCCATGGACAGGTAAGGGAGACGGCAGAAACACTGCAGTGTCCTTACGGGACACGCCGTGCCTCTGGGGGGGCTTTGCAGGCTGTAGTCACGCACCGACTCCTTTTCCAGCGGAAGCCTGCCTGAGCAGCAGAAGCCAGCACACAACAGGACTGGAACTAGAAGCCTGACGGTTTCGACAGCTCTGTGCTCTGGGGCCGGGCCTTCCGTTCCCAGATCCTCACTTTCCATTCCTTTCTCTTTTTTTTTTTCTTTTGCCTTCATCTAGATTTATTTTATGTCTTTGGTTAAATATCGAAAACCAACTAATAGGCTATTCTTTTAACAGTGGCATTCTTTAAATTCCAGAAAAATATTTAATGTCAATTGTTAATATTAGTTCTAGTCATTAACTATATTAAATTTTGTTGAAAATAAGATACAATCTTTATACCACTAGACACAATGGTTATTTTAGGTAAACTAATGAAGTTACTATTTACAGAGACTTAGCCCAGAAAACCTCCATTGCCTATTAGGTGAGGCCTACTGATGGAGACCTCTGTCTCTCTCTCTCCATTGTTTGAAAAAGCCAATTTAAAACATTTTCCAATTAAATCTTTGAAGTGTTGTTACTTTGATGGACACTTTTAGTTCCAAAAAACAAATTGGTGGTGCTGATTTAGTCGCTGTGTCCGACTCTTGTGACATTATGGACTGTAGACCACCAGGCTCCTCCGTCCATGGGATTTTCCAGGCAAGAATGGCACTGGAGTGGGTTGCCATTTCCTTCTCCATCATTTTCCATTCTTATCAAATGGATTTCCAAGTTCCTGTTTCACTGGGTTGTTGGGAAGTTTAAATGAGCCCAGAAGCTTATTGAAGGGCCTTGTGCAATGCAGACAGTGTGGCAAGAGGCATAACAAATGTTTGCTGGAACGGATCTCAAAGCGCTCCAGGGAAGGTCCCATGAACGTTTGCCTGGAGTAACCCTAACGGTTTAAGACACCTTATCTTATCTTTGGTCCAGACTGTCCCTGGGATAACTGAGGATAAAATGAGACATGCTGTTTAACTTCAGGGCATGAGCCTCTGGAGAAGACTCTTAAAAAGTCCCTTGGACAGCAAGGAAATGAAACTAGTTAATCCTAAAGGAAATCAACCCTGAATATTCTTTTGGAAAAACTGATGCTGAAGCTGAAGCCCTAATACTTGGGCCATGTGATGTGAAGAATGGACTTGTTGGAAAAGACCTTGATGCTGGGAAAGATTGAAGGCAGAAGGAGAAGGGGACCTCAGAGGACGAGATGGTTGGATGGCATCACCGACTCAGTGGACATGAGTTTGAGCAAGCTCTGGGAGATGGTGAAGGACAGGGAAGCCTGGCGTGCTGCAGTCCATGGGGTCGCAAAGAGTCAGACACGACTAAACAACTGAACAGCAACGATGAGCCTCAGAGCCAACGTACGCCCAGAGGAGGTCAGCCCCACTTGTCTCCTGCTTCCTAGCACAGCCGTGGCCACGGCCTCTCCACCCACCGGGTCTCCTCCGCGCGGCGCTGCTGCTCCAGCTCCAGTTCTTCCTTCATCCTCTCCGCCCTCTCCAGCTGCTCCTGCTGGAGCCGCCGCTGCTCCTCCTGCTCCCTTCTCTTCCTCTCCACCTCCAGCCGTCTCATCTCGGCCCGTTCTGCTCGCAGCCTGTCCCGGGAAGCCTTCTCTTGTTCCTTCTTGACGAGGAAGGCCTGAGGAGCCAGCGTGTCGTCAGTGATCAGTGATCGCGGGTGACCACCTCTTGGCAGCACGCCCCCCTCCACTCCCACCACATGGCCTCTCAGCAGAGATAAGGTGGTTTCCACACTCTGACCACAGTCGTCCAAACTCCGCTACCTCTGGCCCGGGCTCTGGGCTCTGACTGACCAGGATCCATGTCTCTCTCTTACTTGCTTCAGAATTCAAGGGTAACAGCTTAATCTGTCTGATACTGTCTTCCTCTTGGCTGGCTGTTACCAGAATTAACTCAAACAGTGCAATTGCCTACGTAATGCCCACTGTGCTGTGCTGAGTCGCTTAGTCATCCAGCCTTTTGGCGACCCCATGGACTGTAGTCAGCTAGGCTCCTCTGGCCATGGATTTCTCCAGGCAAGAACAGTGGAGTGGGTTGCCATGCCCTCCTCCAGGGGATCTTCCCAACCCAGGGATCAAACCCAGGTCTCCCACATTGTAGGCGGATTCTTTACCATCTGAGCCTCCAGGGAAGCCCAAGAAAACTGGAGTGGGTAGCCTATCCCTTCTCCAGGGGATCTTCCTGACCCAGGAGATTCTTTACCAGCTGAGCTACCATGTCTGCTACATGTGTCTAATAATCACCCAAGGAGCTTTTAAAGATTACTTGAGGCCAAAGCCCCACCCAGACCAATGAAATAAGAATACTTAGGTGGGAGGCCTTGGCAGGTTTTTAAAATTTCATTAAATTTTTTTCTTTTTCTTTTTTTTTTTGCTATGCAGCAAGGCTTGTGGGATCTTCGTTCCCTGACCAGGGATTGAACCTGGCTGGCAGTAGAAGCACAGAGTCCTAACCACTGGACTGCCAGGAAACTTCTCCTCCACCCCAACCACCTACTTAAAAATATATTATTTTTCTTGTTGGTTTTAAAAAACATCTTCCAGTGATGCTAATGTGAAGCCAGGGATCAGAACCACAGGTTCTAGCTAAAGGCTCCTTTAGGAGCAGTCTTAGGTGTAGATGTGTCAGAGTCCTATTTAATCCTATGCAAATCTACTTTTCCAATGCAAGGTTCTCGGTTTCTGTGAAGAGTGCCTTAGGTTTCTTGTTCTTCCTGATGCCTCCTCCTCAGTCAGAAGTATGCCTCTGAGGGGAACGCTGGATGGCTGCTCTCCCATGGAGCTCTGTGTATCCACTATGGGGTGGGTGCTTCCTTATCTTATTTAGCCTTTGCAGAGGCAATGCAGTACTGTGTACTGGCAATAAATTTAGAAATTCTGAGTCTATAGCAGGCTCAGAAAAGTTCTGCCCACAGCTTAAAATTTTCATCTGCTGTATAGAGTAGAATGCTATAGCCTTGGCAGCTGGGAAGACTCAGAACTAGAAAGGAAAAAGCTTCCTGAAATCCTTTTTGGAAGACCAGGGGCTACAAAATAAATACATAATAATTAAAAATAGTGCAAGAGCTCTGGAGCTCTTTTGGAGTCAAAAGATCTAAGTCTTGACTCTGCCACTTGATGGTTGCTCAACTTATGGCAGCAAACATCTAACCCTTTTAATCTTAGCTTCTGTAGGTGTATGAAATGGGGTGCATCATACCTGGGTCACGAGTGTGGCTGTAGAGATTAAAAGAAATTCGGCAGAATTGTTCATATTTGCATGTAACTTCTGTGAGTTTAAACCATAGTGGTTTAGCTGTGGGTACATTTGCAGTGTTCAAAGACAAGGCAGATAGATGTGTGTGTAAGTTGCCTGTGGCCCAGCTTTGTGCCGCAGTAAAGCAGGTTAGGAATGGAGGAATTTCTACAGTGTTGGGGAGGCAAGCCATGCATAAACTCCGGGCTAAGTCAAGGATATGTGCTTGGCTCTGAGACCGAATTCATCTTTCCTTTTAACTGTGAGGCCTCTACTTCTCACAGATGAGTGCTGTGCCACCTTTCTGCTCAGGAGGGGTGGTTACATGCCCTGGCAGTTCGGGAGCCTCACAGAATGCCTCATTTCAGAGGGACTCTGCCACCCTAGTGTCTTTTATCAGATCTGGCATCTTAAAGGGTCAGAAAAAAACAAAGTAAAATAAATAAAATCATTAGGTAGTTTAATATAATCTGGGGCAGTTTTCCCCACCTCTGCAGTTGTACCAGTGAGGACAGAGATCCCTCTGGCCAGAGTATTGAAGCCTACCTTAGAAGGGTCCTCGTGGCTTCCCTCTCCTCCAGGTTCCGTGTTTGCAGGGACAGTTGCAGTCTGGGTGGGCGATGACCTTCCATCTATAGAAACTTGACTCTCAGGAGCCTCAACTTTGGAAGAGAGCCAAGGGTCCTCTACACCAGAGCCTGAGCGGAAGACGCCTCCGCCTGAGCGGTCTTTGGTTTCCTTAGAGTTAATGACATCAGGCCCACTCAGCTCCGCAGCTGTTTCCAGATTCCCTTCCTTCCGTGTCCTTTTCCCTTTGGCTCCTGGTTTTTTTCCTTTGGCAATTAGCTCTGATTTCTTTTCAACTTTTGATTCCTTTGACTTTCCTAGGAGAGAACAATTGGGGTTAGAGGCATAGTTAATAAACATGTCTCTGTATCCTTTTCAGCGACTTTAAAACTCCCATGTGCAATGGAATCATCTATGTGCAGATACCTGAGCCCCGCCCTGATTTTGTAGGAATCTGCATTTTAGCTATCACTCCAAAGATTTTGAGAAGGCTAGTCCATAGACCCAGGTGGTGCTAGTGGTAAAGAACCTGCCTGCCGATGCAGGAGACATAAGAGACGTGGGTTGAATCACTGGGTTGGGAAGATCCCTTGGAGGAGGGCATGGCAACCCAAATCCCATGGACAGTAGAGTCTGGCCGGCTACAGTCCATAGGGTCACAAAGAGTCAGACATGACTAAAGCGACTTAGCACAGCACAGCCCATAGACCACCCTTTGAGAACCTTCCTCAACTGTAATCAGCAGTCTTGCTACTAAAAGAGTTCTGATTCGCCCTGACCTATGGTGGGGACAAGACTCTCTGGAGGGAAGAAGACCTATAGGCATAGCTGGAAAATCATGCCTCAAGAGTCTAGCTTGAGGTTGCAACTTTGTAACCTGACACAGTTTTAGCCTTCTATACTCTAAGGCTTCTTTCTAAATTCACTGCTGGGGGCCACAAGTATTTCCTTTTCCAGTCCTGCCAATGCTACCCAAGTTACAGGCTACAGCAATGTAAACTCAGCAAGACTTTAAAAAGCAGACCTCAAAAATATATCTGAATAAGCAACAGAGTCCTACCATATAGCACAGGGGTCTATATTCAATATCCTGTGATAAACCACAATGGAAAAGAATATTAAGAGTGTCTATATTGTATAAATGGATCACTTTGCTGTAGACCAGAGATTGGCACAGCTACACTTCAGTTAAAAAAAAAAGTCTGGCCCAGGAGGCTGGCTATCCGGTGTCATTTGCTGCTATAGCTTTTGATTTGTTCTGAGGGTCTTCATATGGCCGGGAAAGAATGGGTGTAGGTTTCAGGTTAGAGAAAGTCCTCAGGACACAACATTGTAAATCAAATTGTAAATCCAATAAAAATTAATTTAAAAGGAAAGGAGGTCCTCAGAAGCATAGGCCCCTGAATTCCCTGTGAGGTGCAACACGGCTAACCAAGAGGAAACAACAGTAGCTGGAGTAACTGTTCAGAGCATGCTGTAAACTTCCCCTTCCCGAATGCTCCCATGGCCAAATTCTCAGCTTATGACTTATTTATTATTCATAGAGGCAGAGTTTGAGAGGCATGGGTTTGGAATCAAATGGCAGGTTCAGACCCTGGGTCCAGCGCTTTTTACTGTTTGATGTTACTCAAATCAGCCAGCCTCGCCACGTGATATAATAATGGTGCTTGCTTTAAGGATATGTGAGGATTTCATGACATCATAAATGCAGAGCTCCTAATGAGAGAGTCAGTTCCTAGGCAGGTTGATAAGAAGTCTGGGGTCCCCGAGGAGGAGAAAGGGATCTGGGGCTCTCAAGGAGGAGACAGGGGCCTGGAATTCTCAAGGAGGAGGAAAGGACATGTTTTTTCCTACATTCCTTAGTAAGGACTATATAACAATAATGTATCCTGCTTGAGGACATGTTTCTCCTTCCTGAAAACCTTCTGACTAATCCTGTTATCTTAAAATATATATTATGGGAGTGGGTCTAGTAAGATCTTTACAACCTTGAGACATTCTTTTGATTTATTGTAATAACTAATTTAAAAAGTATATAATTCCCTCCCTAAGACTAGCAAGTGGGGCACTCTCCATCCCCCTTCTGATGTCTACGTCAGAAGCTTTCTTTGTCCCTTTTCATACTTTGATAAAATTCTGCTACACGAAAGCTCTTGAGTGATCAAGCCTGGTCCCTGGTCCCGAAGCTAAATCCTTGGAGATCAAGAATCCGACACCGTTCACCGTAAGCTATCACTAATACAGTGCGTGTTCATTTAGTAGATGTTGGTATTATTATTATAATTTCCTTTCTTGTTAATTACAGGCCTCCAGGCTACCCCAGTTTCCTCTATCCCTGTCTCCCAAGATACTGACATGAAGTAAGGCCGCAACACCGTCTTAGCTGTGGTCGTCAAGGAGACTCAGCACAGACAGTTTGTCCCGTAGGATCCATGCTGATTCTCCATAACACCTTCCAGCTCCCATTAGGTGTCTTCTCCTGGATGGTCCCTTACCAACAGCAGCCTCTGCTTCCTCACGGAGTTTTCCTTCTTTCTCCCTCTTGGGTGCCTTGGACTTATCTGTCTTGGCCCTTTTCTTGCTCTTGGTTTTTTCAATCAACTCCATCTCCTAAAGGAAAAATTAAGGAAAAGGGAACATGTTAAAGTAGAAAGCAAGAGGGAAAAAGAATCAAAAGGAGATTATTTGGGGCATTCCCTGGCAGTCCAGTGGTTAGGACTCAGCACTTTTAATACCTGGTCAGGGAACTAAGATCCCAATGGCCAACAAACAAAAATAAAAAACAGAAGACAAGGGAGATTATGTTGAACAAGACAGAACGGCTTAGAATGGAATTTACATGGGTTCCAGATGAAGCAAATGAATGAGACAGAGGGTGTGGAGCCGGAGAAGAGCTCCTAAGATTCAGCCTTTGATATAATTTCAGGTATAATTTCACAGAAGAAAAGAGAAATAGAACATACTTGATGATCTGCCCCCCTTTTTAAATAATTATAAAAAAATAATTTTGCTTAGTTATATTTTTGTTACCACAAAGGCTTTTTCTCTAGCTGCAGAGGGCGGGCTTCTCATGGGTGGCTTCTCTGGTTGCAGAGCTGGGCTTCAGAGTGCAGGCTTCAGTAGTTGCAGTGCTCGGGCTTAGTTGCCCTGTGACATGTGGGATCTTCCTGGACTGGGATCCAACCCACGTCCCCTGCATTGGCAGGGAGATTCTTGACCACTGGATCACCAGGGAAGTCCTGCCCCCTTTTTTGATGCTAAACCATCATTTACAGAGCTGGATCAAAGTGAAGCAGTTTTGCTTTGGTGATTGCTGTTGCCACAATTAATGATTAACTAGTTTAAATCAAAGCCAGCTTTATTCACTGTTGCATCATTTGCTAGCTTTTGGGAAACTTCAAGCATATGACCATGGCTATGTCAGTTTTTACCTTTCCCCAAGGACTGGGACAGCATAGTGTTTCTTCCTAACGGGATGGCACAGTCAGGCCATGACTACCCCTCAGTACCTGTAATATTGTGACAAAATAAGAAATATATGTTTGGTCTTTGAACCTAGCCTCTGACACAGAGCTCTGAAAACCCTTGCACAAACGTACCTCAGAGATAGTGTGGGTTTGGTTGTAGACCACCCCAACAGCATGAATACTGGAAATAAAGCACGTTACATGAATATTTTGTTTCCCAGGGCATATAAAAATTATGTTTACTTATGTAGTCTATTAAGTGTGCAGTAGCATTATGTCTAAAAAAACAGTGTGCATACCTGAATTTGAAAATGCTATATTGCAAAAAAACCCTGTTAACTATCATCTGAGCCTTCAACAAATTGTAATCACTTTTTTCTTTCTTTTTTTTAAAAAATTAATTAATTTTATTTTACAACATTGTATTGGTTTTGCCATACATTGACTTGAATCTGCCATGGGGATACATGTGTTCCTCATCCTGAGCCCCCCTCCTTCCTCCCTCCCCATTCCATCTCATCCCTCTGGGTCATCCCAGTGCACCAGCCCCGAGCATCCTGTATCATGCATTGAACCTGGACTGGCAATTCGTTTTACATATGATAATTTACATGTTATCTTGTAAATGCCATTCTTCCATATCATCCCGCCCTCACCCTCTCCCACAGGGTCCAAAAGACTGTTCAATACATCTGTGTCTCTTTTGCTGTCTTGCATACCAGGTTATTGTTACCATCTTTCTGAATTCCATATAAATGCATTAGTATACTGTATTGGTGTTTTTCTTTCTGGCTTACTTCACTCTGTATAATAGGCTCCAGTTTCATCCACCTCATTAGAACTGATTCAAATG